AAATTTGAAACTAAGTTACGATCGTGACTTGTTACCGCAGATCTAAGTACCGGCTAAATTTATGACTTGAAAATTAGGATAATGAAAACTAAAAATTTCGACAGATTTATTGGTGCGGCGCAAGTACCTGGGAATTAACTCCCAGTTCTATACTGATCTGTGGCTTCAACCCCGAATTCGCGTCAGTTTCATAATTAAAAAACTAAAAGACCACTAGCTGGGGATTTTAACAGATAGTTTTGGGCGAAAAACAAGAAACCTATCCTCACACTTTGCTATACCCTTATTGATGACCTCAAACCCATATTTGTTCCTATTTTTAATTTTTACTTCTGAGTCTTGCAACTTCCAACTCCCAGAGCAGCTTATAGCTAAAACCCATAGCTAATCATGCGAGCCTGCTTGCGCGTGTCTTTATCTGTTTGAACTGCAGATGCAATAAAAGTAATTTTAGAGGAATATGAAGAAGAAGAAAGTCCATTTGGTGGCCCGCGGCCGATGGTACCGTTCTCGTCCATGTTCATCTTTTCACCAACAAATCCGTTTGTCTTTTTTATTTCCGAACCACTGCTTGTTCATTCTTAACTTTGTAACAAACTTTTTCAGCTAAATGCCGTCCTCAGTTTCATACTGATATCTTTAGTTTCTGAACGGTAGCTAAACGTTCACTATTGCGGGAAGAGAACATGCAGTATAGCTGCAGTGTGCGTCTGCATTTGTCAATGCCCGTGGAAGTATTCTTGATTATGCGTGCATCAATATTTGAATGGGCTTGCCTAAAATAAATAGGCTTATGCATTTTCATCTGTCAGGAATGGGGAGTTGTGTTCCGAAATTTGATGCGTGTAATGCTTCAGCATTAAAATTTAGGTTTCGTGTGCTGGTGCATTCAGTGGTGTCGACAAAATATTTTGAAATGTTTGTGATGAGTGTGATATGCTTCTCGAGCATAGCACTCTCGGCGGAAGATCCGGTGGATGAGGATGCGCCGAGGAACAGAGTTCTCCAGTACATGGACTATTGCTTCACGGGTGTTTTTGCCTTCGAAATGTGCCTTAAGGTTCGTTTGGTTATCTTGCTCT